GGCAGTTTCGTTGATATCATCGTCCCAAAAGCGTATCTTCGACTTCTCCGATTTCTTGTCAGAAGAATCTTCGCCTGGATTTCCCTTCTTCGGTATTTTGTGGATTTGCATTCATTCGCTTGCGATCTGTCCTTCGTACTTTTTAATTCGTAGAATTCTACGAAGTTTCGTCGGAAGGACAGAAGGACAAGCTGTCGTAAGTAGATTCCAGTACTAGGTGTTGGTGGCGGGAGAAAAGTTCACCACCACCCCTGCGGATCTTTTATATTATTCCTCGCCGCCTTCTGCCAACCAGAAAGCACCGACCGAAGAAACAGAACTTGCAAACTCCCACATCGAAAAACAAAAAATTCAGCAGTTGTGACCTTTTTTTTCTCTACGGTATCTCTCATCTCATCTCATCACTGAAGCACAACCGACACACACACACACACACATATATACATACATCTATATATATACATCCTTTCCTGTTACTATCATGTTGTCTCAAAGGTGCCGCTCGTTGGCCACTACTGCCGTTCGTCGCAATCCAACCACCACTGGTCTTCGCCAACAAGTCATTCGGGCGCAAAGCACAAAAGCTGCCGAAGGGGCCTCCAGCCCAATTGCCAAAGATGGTCGCCATGAAGTTTGGAGAGAGGGAATCTACGATCATGACAATGAACCAAAGTGAGTAAGCATTCTTGTATCATTATTATGGATTGGATTGGATTGGATTGGATTGCATGGAAGAGAAAAGAAAAAGGCGAAGAATAGCCAACGACGCTTTTTCATTCGTTTTTGGATGATTCATTCCATGGCCACTACCGTCACAGTACCTGTAGATGGATGGGATGGAACAATACGATACATGTTGCATTCCTTCCTTTCCATGCATACAATACATTTGCGTCAATTTCCGAATTGATTCTATTCCTACTAACTACATGCTTTTTGTTTTCCTTCCATTTTCTCACCATTGTCTCTTTCTTTCACTTCACTCGTATCACGATTCAACAACAACCACAACAACAACAATCTATAGAGTCCGTCGCCGTGACAACTCGTATGCATCCGTGGAAAAGCTTCGTGGGTTCTTGAATTACCAACGCAACCCCGAACCCTACCGCGATCCTCTCGAGCGGGTCCAGGATTGGGAAGAAATCAACCCGGTCCCCGACCGCGACGTCGATGTGGCACACACGGCCATGGAACGCAAGGTCCAAGCCGCTCGTTGCATGGACTGCGGTACTCCCTTTTGCCAGACTCATCAGGGATGTCCCATTCACAACTTGATTCCGGAGTGGAACAATCTCGTCTACCAAGATCAATGGGACGATGCCATTGATCGTCTGCATTCCACCAACAACTTTCCTGAGTTTACCGGACGTGTCTGTCCCGCACCGTGCGAAGGATCCTGTGTGGCAGGATTGGTCGATTCGCCAGTGACCATCAAGAACTTGGAATATGCCATTGTCGATCGTGCCTTTCGGGATGGCAAGATCACTCCCCGAATTCCTCAAGAAAGATCTGGTTTGACCGTGGCCGTGGTCGGTTCGGGTCCTGCAGGATTGGCGGCTGCCGATCAATTGAACCAAAAGGGACACAATGTCACTGTCTTTGAACGGGCCGATCGTATTGGTGGACTCTTAATGTACGGAATTCCAAACATGAAGTTGGAAAAGGAAACTGTCGATCGTCGTGTCAACTTGTTGCGAGAGGAAGGCATTGAATTTGTTACCAATGCCAATATTGGGCACAATGTCGATGTCAATGACTTGAGATCCAACTTTGATGCTCTCTGCTTGTGTTTGGGATCTACCAAGCCACGTGATTTGCCGGTCCCAGGACGTGAATTGAAGGGTGTTCACTTTGCCATGGTAAGAAAAGAAAAAATTGATACAATTATATGTTGTTGATTGTATGACTTGACAACAGAGAACTAATTGCCATTGCCATTACCATTGCTATATTATGATTTTACAGGAATTCCTCACTGCCAACCAAAAGAAGCTCCTCATGACCAAGGAAGGTACCCTCGAATCTCAATGGGAAAAGGACAACTGGATCACTGCCGCCGGCAAGGACGTTATTGTCATTGGAGGTGGAGATACTGGAACAGATTGCATTGGTACCTCGATGCGTCATCGTTGCAACTCGGTCACCAACTTTGAACTCATGCCTCAACCACCCATGGAACGGGCTCCCGACAATCCATGGCCCCAATGGCCAAGAGTCTTTGGTGTCGACTATGGTCATGCCGAAGTCCAAGCGGTTACTGGAAAGGATCCAAGAGTCTATTCCGTCATGACCAAGGAATTCATTGGCGACGACGATGGTAACGTCAAGGCCTTGGTCACTCAAGACGTCGAATTGACCGATCAAGGACCACGTGCCATTGAAGGCAGCGAACGCGAATGGCCTGCCGATCTGGTCGTCTTGTCCATGGGATTCTTGTCCCCCGAAGACTACGTGGCCAACGAATTGGGTTTGGAAGTCGACCAACGTCAAAACATTCACGCGACCTATGGTGATTTCCGTACCAACGTCGAAGGTGTCTTTGCGGGAGGCGATTGCCGACGAGGACAATCTCTTGTGGTCTGGGCGATCAACGAAGGACGGGGTCTTGCCGAGTCCTGTGATCAGTACTTGGAACAAAAGAGAGTCGATTTGAGTACCACTGCTTATGGACAAAGCCAATTTGCCAACCTTTCCAGTCTGTCACCTACCATTTAGAAAATGCTCTCCTTATGTACTGTATACTGTATACAATGAGGGAAAGAAAAAAAGGTTTTGTGCTGTCTTGTCTTTCTTTTTTTGGGGGAACAGACAGGCGGCGGTGATGATAGTGTGAGATATATTGCATCAATACGGTATGGTATATTGCAACATTATAATATATTTATTTTAATAAACAAAAAGTAGGACTAGTAACAAACAATTCAATAAGGTAGAGGAGTACGTCTACTGTAGTCTCGCATCTTGATTCTGCTACAGGAATCCCAAATGTGCTTCTTCGTCGACGATACCATCCCATTCCCATTTATCATCATCATCATTATTTTTCTCTGAGGAATCTTGGTCCATTCCTCCTTGTAACATGTCAGCTACGCCTCCGCCGCCGCTCATGGCCAATTGTTTCAGCTCGTCCAACGCTGCATTTTTGGTAGTACTACTAGTATCCTCATTCGAATCATCATCATCCTCGTCGTCGCCGTTGTTTGTCAAAAAGAAAGAGTCACCACCCATGGCGTCAATTTCGGCAGCAGCTACTGACATGTCGTCGTCGTTGTCATCGTTATCATCCAAATCCATTTCTCCTCGGCTATTATTTCGAACAAAGGGGATGGTGTCTGCTGCTACTGGCGGCTTGTTGGGAGCTTTCGTGTCGCTCGATGGCATCGGTTCACTACTACTAGCAGCAGGGTCTATCAGGTCCATGACTGGGCTGGCTGCTCCTGCCATGGTGGCCAACTCCAAAAAGGCTTCGGGCAATGTCTCCTCCTCCTCCTCTTGTTCTTCCTCCTGTTGCAGGACTTTTTGGTCAATGTCATTGGTCAAGAAAAAGGGGTCACCTCCCATGGCTTCAATTTCAAATCTTCGATCATCCCGTTCCATAATATTGTTGTTGTTGTTGTTGTTGTCAGAAGAAGAAGAAGAGAAAAAGGAATCGCCTCCTATGTTGCTTCTATCAAACTCGGAAATGCTAGTATCCTCGTCAACGACATTACCAACAAAATCCTTTGACTTTGGTTCATCATCGGGTGGAAGCAAGAAGGACGGATCTCCTCCCATTGCCGCAATCTCGGCCATGTCTTCTTCTAGGTCCCACGATGATGATGACGATGATGGCGATGGCGGTGGGACCTTGGATGGTATACTACTACTCTCTTGGTTTTCTTTTGATTTTCCACCATCTTTTCCTTTTGATTTCGGTTCATCGGGTGGAAGCAAGAAGGACGGGTCTCCTCCCATTGCCGCAATCTCGGCCATGTCTTCTTCCAGGTCCCATGACGATGATGGCGATGGCGGTGGGACCTTGGATGATATACTACTACTCTCTTGGAATGTTGATTTTCCACCATCACTATTCTTTGGTTTCGGTTCATCGGGTGGAAGCAAGAACGACGGATCTCCTCCCATTGCCGCGATCTCGGCCATGTCTTCTTCCAGGTCCCATGACGATGGCGGCACTGGTGGGACCTTGGATGGTATACTTCGCTCGTTGTATGATTCACCACCACGATTATTGTTGTCTTTTGATTCAATGTCCTCTGGAAGCAAGAACGACGGATCTCCTCCCATTGCCGCAATCTCGTCTTCCAGGTCCCGTGATGACGATGACGATGACGACGACGACAACGGCTCCTGTGGGGCCTTGGACGGCATGCTACGCTCTTGGTTTGTGTCGTCATTGCCTTTATTCTTTGATTTCGGTTCGTCAAGAACTGGAAGCAAGAAGGATGGATCTCCTCCCATTGCCGCAATCTCGGCCATATCTTCTTCCAGGTCCCACCATTCATCATCATCATCATCATTTCCTGTGGCACTGAGCTGACATTTCGATTTGGACGGTGTGGTGATTCTAAGCGGACTGCTGCTCCTTCTTCTCCTCCAGGACGATGCTAATGATCCTCCTCCTGTTCCTCCCTGTTTTGTTATCGTCCTAGAAAAGCTGGAATGCAACGGCTGCTTCATCCATGCCTCTACATGACAACACGAGTTGAAGGAGTATATTAGAATGTGAGTGAGGACCAGTTGACGCATACTATATACCGGTACAGTAATGACAAATATAGTAGATACAATTCTAAGCAAGAGTGACGTTTGTTTGGAGGTGATGGCATGAGAATTTGTTCCATCACAGTGCGCGATATGAGCGCGCATCAAATCCAAACCTGATGATGATTTGAGAATAATGAGGATCTTCACAATCTTTTGGCTGCAACGACCATATCCATACACACCATAATCGGAGCATTCCATCATCATCATCATTCGACTACTATCTATAGAATACTATCATACCACAATACAAGACAATGCGATATACAGACCAACTCCGTGAAGCTGCCGGCGATCAATGGAATCGTGTCATCCATCACAAATTCACCAAAGATTTGGCGGCGGGGACAATC